GCCATTGCTTAAGCTCCCGTTTCCCACCAGTCAGTTAACTGACCTTAGCTAACCTAATATCATTGTGGCAACTCTCTATGCGGCAGGGGAACTATGCCATTAGCGCGCTAAGAGTTGTTAGACCACTGACATAGGCGCCTATTCGTGGGTGACGAGGCACTTGTTTACATTACAGCGAGCTTGGCGATTGTTATAGCATTTTTGAGTGAACTACCAGACAATAAGGTGATCCAAAAGACGTTTCTCAGTGGAACTGACAGCTAGAATTTAACAGTGTGTGAGTGATCTGGTGTTAATGGTGCTGAATGTAAACATAAACAAAGCAGAAATTCATATGAGAGTGAACTGTCAGTTCTACTGTGATCTGTCAAAAGTCAGGTTCTGTTGTCATTTGATGTATTCTGATGTTTTATGCGTGCAACAAATTACATCGTGATGAACTTTGATTCTAATGTAACGTTAGGTTATGTTGTCATTGGATGTATTCTGATGTCAAATTTTACATCGTCAAGACGTTTGATTCTGATGTAACGTTTGAGGTTAATGTATTTTTATGTACTTGGACGTCACACTGAAGTCTGAATACATTAAGGGTACAGCAATACACGTTAAAATTTAATGTATTGAAGATGTCTGCTGATGTTTCCTACATTACAATTTCTGTTCGGGAAGCTACTGAACATCAGTAGTTTTATTGAGAATAGCTGAATGTTCGGTATTTTTCGTGATTTACAGTTCGAAAACTGTAAAAAATACCGAACAGGGAGAGGCCGTGATTAACCGTTATGTGATCGACAAAAAAACACCTTTAGGAGCTCGACAAGGGTACCCGGGTACCCACAAATTGAAATACTTGCTACTGCGGCCAATTTTGACCGATTTTGAACCTTTGGCACCATCTCACTACTTGACTAGCCTATTGGTTCCAAGCAAACGATTAACGTACCCCATTCTAGTTGAAATTCTAGTACTACACAATGTTTGTTTTGATTCGCTATGAAAGTTTGACAGATAAAATGAGGGGTTAGTGGATTTTCCTATGTTTCGAGGGGTGAATCGATTAGCTTGGGACCGAAGAGAGTACCAGAGCTGAGCCAAAAAGTTGAGCACGTTTCTTCGGGACTTTCTAGTCTTAGAGTTACCTCTATGGTAGAACCAACAATCAATACGAAACTAACGATTTTAAATTGGCTCACTACTTGAATAGCCTATTGGTCCCAAGCAAACGATTAACGTACCCCATTCTAGTCGAAATTCTAGTACTACGCAATGTTTGTTTTGATTCGCTATGAAAGTTTGACAGATAAAATGAGGGGTTAATGGTTTTTCCTATGTTTCGAGGGGTGAATCGATTAGCTTTGGACCGAAGATAGTGTCGTGAACTGACCGAGGTTGCAAGTCTCGGCCATTTGTCGCAACAAAGACCATCCGGAAAGCAAATGCACAACCGTGCGCAAGAAGATTGGTCAAATGACTGGTTCAATCATGCAGAAGCCGAAACACATAAGCCTCGGCTCGTTCAAGCGTGCGTATGTGTGTGCGTTTATTTAAATCATCGTATTAATGCTCCACGCTAACTTAATTCTACTCAAATTGAGAATGGCGTTACTCGACGCTCAGCTTTCTAGTTTTGATACATTCAATATGTATTGTTATCATGATAATTATTATTATTATTATTTCATACCAAACACTATCTACCACAGATAGTACCAGAGCTGAGCCAAAAAGTTGAGCACGTTATTTCGGGACCTTCTAGTCTTAGAGTTACCTCTATGGTAGAACCACAAACGAAGTGGTAGTTTGTGGGTTTGTGGTACTACTTCAAAGCACATTTATTACTTTAAGTACTTTTGATTGCATTTTAACTTCAACGCACCGTTTCTTTGTATTGCGTGCCTCTCGAGTTTCCCCTATCCGTTGATACTGGTAATTTGCGTTCGATTGGCGAGGAAAGAATAATCAACGTTTTGTTTATAAAAGTTGATAGTACCTTTTCAATTGTTGGTCTACAATACACTTGAGTCGCTTTTTACGCGGGTGATACATCCCGTGTAAAAAAACGCGTAAAATAAACCGCGTAAATTCCGGGATCCGCGTAAATTCCGAAATCCGCGTAAAAAGCGACTGCAGTGTATAACGAACCGCGTTAAAAAAAATCTGAAATCCGCGTAAAAAAACCGTGTAAATTCCGAAACCCGCATAAAAAATCCGCTTAAAAAGCAACTCCAGTGTATAATGAATTGGTTCCGCTTTTTGATAGATCGTAATTCTTTCCTATAGACTATAAATATAGCGACTATATTATATGTTGTAGCCACTTACTCAATGTTAACTTGGCGCACGGAAGATCCCCGTCAGGTGGTTTAGTTCTTTCCGTTTTTAGCAACAAACGAATAAAAGACATTAGGTCGTATGAATAAAAGCGTTTACTTTACTTTTCCCGTAAGAAAAGCACGGGAAAGTAAAGTAAACTCTTTTTATTCATACGGCCCATTAACTCAATAATAAGTTTAATTAACTCAACCGTTGGGTTGTTTTGTTTAGCCGTGTACCCTACACATGAAATGGAATCTTGGAATCTATTAGGTTTTGCACCGTCGGGGTTAACCTCAATCTGATGACAGTTCAGTGGTACTGTTTACGTGGACTTAGTCGATTTTTTCTTGGGTGGATTTTCTCGATAGTTAATTTAAATTATAGAAAACGTAAACAGTACCACTGAACTGTCATCAGATTGAGGTTAACCCCGACGGTGCAAAACCTAATTAGGTTCTGCAGCGTGACGTCACAAATGAACTCAGTGTTAATAGGCTGAACCTTTTTGACAGTTCAGTGGTACTGTTTACCCGCACTTAGTCGTTTTTTCGAAAAAACAAATTCTAAAATTTCCGAATTTTAACTTGAAAATTGTCGAGGAACAGCGCGGTGAAAGGATGTTGCTCGTGGACAATGCAGAAGTGTGGTTTACATCTCTCTGCACTCTGAAAAATTATCGAGAAAATCCACCCAAGAAAAAATCGACTAAGTCCACGTAAACAGTACCACTGAACTGTCATCAGATTGAGGTTAACCCCGACGGTGCAAAACCTAATAGACGAGTGCACGGATGGATTTGAGTTCACTCGCTCGACAAAAAGTGACACAACAGCGGGGCCCTGTTTACTAAAAATGAACACATGAATAATACTCGCGTAACATTTGAAACGGGTATATCAACTTTTGTACACAAAACTTGTTAAGCCCTTTTCGCGCGAACCGAATACGCCCACGCAAACTAACAACACCATCGGGTAGGAGAAATTCTCCCCTTCCCGATAGTGCTCTTGGTTTACGGAAGCATACTTCCGTTCTCGTGAAAAGGACCTTGCAAGTTGTTTAGAAAAAATGATAATCCATTTTCAAATGTTATGCGAGCATTATTCATGTGTTCATTTTTAGTAAACAGGGCCCCGTTGTTTTGTCACTTTTTGCCGAGTGAGTGAACTCAAATCCATCCGTGCACTCGTCTATAGAGGTCTTTACCACCGTTAGTATTAGCACGTATTAGTGAGCAGTTTTACTAATCCATGCATTTTACTGGTTGAAAATAAAAAACAAACCACTGTCAAGTCGAACACTTTGACAGCTGATTTCGTGGTTGAAAATAATAAACAAATCGATTTTACACGGCTTCACTAGCAAGGTTGTATTAGTGAGATCTAGCGGCGAGAAGTCAATATAGGTACTTCAAATGTGACACAAGGAAGAAGTGTTAGTTTGTTTACTAAAATGAACTATGCCCATTTTGTTTTGAAATACTAGAAGGAGAGATGAGCGGACAGAATGTTTTGAGCCAAATGAACTGTCAAAATCTGAGCGAAACGAACATTCCTATTAGTTTTTTTTCCGAGGATTTCTTATTCTTACTAGATTAAATTTGAGAGTATTGCAGTCGAACAGAAATTCAATCAACTTTATGTTTCGTGTGCTTCTCAAATTCAACTAGTTTTTGGAATCAAAAGCAATATTCTAGCTTTATTGATTAATTGATCTTAGTTGATTATTTAATGGCACCAAAAAGTGACCAAAATATTGCGATGCAATCAATTATTAATTTACACATAAATCGAATCAAAAGTAAAAGTCATGTGAAATGCTAAGTTTTAGCAAGGGTTGCAAGATAATTTTGATACAAATCCTTGCTGCCGAATTGCATTTTGTTTTCTCCGCCCATCTCTCCCTCTGAGTATTTCTAATTTTGTTATGGCAAGAAATGCTCCTCGTGTTATTAGCGAAATTCACATCAAAGGTTGATTAATTGCGTAGGAAATCAGTTTGGCACGGCATTTGTGACCAGCATACACCTTCCGGTCGTATGAAACAGGTCAAAAACTGTTTTTTGTTTTTGTTTTGTTTTGAATTTCTGTATGGCAAAATAGAGAACTTTTCGTGAACATTAACGACAAAGAACTCACCAATACTATAGGAGACCGTGAGCTCCTGCCAACCTGTGATAAAACCATCTCGGACTGGAATGATGATGGCTGACAAAAAATTCAATGATGATGCTGGAAATCGATGATGCGATTGTGTGTGAAATTAAAATTATTTTGATCACACACATCGTGGACACGATATTTAATGCAATTTACTAATACCACAGTCTTCACAATGCCTCCGTCTCACAGTCTCGCTCTACCTCATTGCATACAAGTATAGTTGGTAGTCGTAATCGTAAACTTGGCCATCAGTTTCTCATCTCTCCTTCGGGTTGGTGTGGGATCATAGTGAAAGCGCTTCGTAACGCATAAGTAACTATAGTTCTGTCAATGAAGGAAAGGTAACTAACATATTGTGAAAATGCTGTTAGGTAAATGAAAATGAAAAAAAAATGTATTTCCATGACAGATGGAAACAAAACTATATTTCCAAATCTTCTTTTATTGAAAGCAGTATGATACTCTGTATAATGCTCTATTTTAATTTAGTATGATTTATAATTTAAGGTAATCTCATCGTCAACACTAGTCACTGTACCTTATGCAAGCTACGAGTTTCGCTCCATTTTGTTTGCAAGCTAGTGCAGGTTGAACATAAATTAGTCGTGTTGTAAACAGTTTGGGAAAATTTGTCCACAATAAATAGTCGTGTGCAAGTGTTTTATGGTTTCTCTGTTGCAACTTGATATAGAGCCTTGCGAGCAGCAGGATAAGCCTGGAAGCATGACTTCAATCGATTGGAAACGACCAGCGCTCGAGATTCTCCTGAAGCTGTACCACGAACATCCGATACTGTACGATATGCGCCACCCAAAATATTATGCCAAAGCGGAACGCCAGAAAGCATTAAGTACCATTATCGATCTGTTGGAAGATCACCGTCCTGGGACTACCACGGGGGATATCCTGAAGAAAATTCAAACAATGAGAACTCAGTTCGGCCAGGAATACGGAAAGGTACGAAAAGCCCAAGCCAAGGGTACTGAATACGTTCCTACGATATGGTGGTATCAGCACTTGTCCTTCCTTCGAAAGCACATCAAACCCAGAGCCATAAAAGAGGAAATGGATGAGCTTCAGGAACCCGACGATGATTACATGTCAATGTCACAGAACACCGATGTGGAGTACGAGAACTACACTACTGAGGAAGCGTACGAACTTGAAAGCTCTGAAATAGTGTATGAAATTCAGAGCTCTCCATCGGGAAAAGGTAAGCAAGAGAAGTGATGCATATGAAGTGATTCCAACTGAAATTTCATTCCACGCTTTCAATACTCCACAGGGTCCAAAGAGGAAGCAAAAATCTATAGACAACGAGATCTTGGCAACTCGACCCCGATCAATGGTTCCGGCAAGGAGGAAATTATCTACGAAATTACCAATTCCAACACAATTGTTCCCAAGCGAAAGATCGAGGTGATCAGTGCGGAAGAACCGAGTGCAAAGCAACAGCGCAAAGATAGCATACATGATCAATCAACGTCGTCTTTTTCACCGGGTGGTACTGCAAAGAGGGCCGAAGTGTTCGAGATCACCGTCGAACCAGACCGGTCGAAAAGCTTTGGACAGTTTGTGGCCTCGCAAATCGCGGCCGTCAAAGACGATTACCTATTCTACTCGACACAGATGGAGGTGTTGAATGTCATCAACAAGGCACAGTTGAAGCAGCTACAGATGGATAAGGATGCGGCGAGCAAGTAGTCTAGATCATTAGTCGGTTATGCCTTAAATTTAGGTATTTAGAGTAAGTTTCACGTCGAATGCTTTATTTTGTACAAAATCTTGATGTACACAATCGATCAGACCAACTCAAAATTGAGTCGAGTCGAGTCAATTTCGTCAAAAGTGGATTAAAAATTAGTTGAATTTTCCAGACTTTTCACGAAAAACGTCTTGAATGTGAGGAACATCGATAGAGGTTTCACTCAGTCTGTTAGTGTACAACTAAGAGTGACTAATTTTTTTTATCATATTCGAGAAGTTTTTCCTGTTTTCCACTGTTTTTTCTCGGAAAATTTAACTCACTTTTGACGAAATTGAGTCGATTCTTTACCGTGTAGGACTAAAGCTTCAATAAAGGTCTTTTATACATTTGAGCAACATTTATTTTAAATTTTGAATCTTTGCTGGCGAATAGACGAGCGTTTAAATAGCATCGCATTCCAATCACAGATCCTTATACGGGACCATGCCTTAGTCATTAAGTCACGCTCTAAAGGGGAGGGTGGGTTTAAAAATGTGTGTCAAGGAATGCAAAAAGTATAGGAAAAACGTGATGAAAGGAAGGAGGGGGGGGGGGTGATTTTCTCTAAATTTCATGTGGTTTACTTAATTAATTACTTCCCTTAGATATCACGTGAACTTTTTCAAATCTAGAGCTTAGGTGGAATGATCGATTTTCTTCATCGGATTTCTCATTTGTTACAAAATAGCTCGGCTGGATTAACAATTCTCGGTGCGTTTGCTGCTTCATTTGCTCACCAATTGAAACTTTTATAACTGTATTGGAAACATTTCGCAGAATTCGGTCAACATACTGATCAACTTAAATACTTACTATATTTTCTTCATCGACATTCTTTTTAGTTAATCACCCATATTCTTGTTTTCGTTCGAACCGTATTTTCCATTCAAGAAAACTTTTTTTTGCCTGGCTGAATATTACTTAGGCCACAAATCCCTTTCCTGATGTGGGTATTTTTGTCGTATTGGACTACGTCTTTCAGGAAGATGGGGGTACACTTTAAGAAAACCGAAAAATTAAATTACGAAAGATTTTGAACGTTAATAACTTAGCTGCCTCTGGACCAATTTCAAAAATTTAATCACCAATCCATCAGAAACATTTCTACGCATCGGTAAAAATGCTTTTGACCGTTGATTTTCAAATTGAAACTATTGAAAAAGTGGTAAATTTCAAGCATTGTCCAAAAGCTTCGAAATAACTAACAAATCCACCAATAACGTACATGCATATGCTGCTTCCCCAACACAGTTATCAGAGAATGGTTCCTAGATAAAACAAGTCGAAGTGACATTCGCCTCCGATCTTCGGGCGTGTACGAATAGGGAGGATGCAATTGCGGACTATTTTGATGCCAATTCAGAACCACCGCCCTCAACGACCACACAAAATGCTCTTCGTTATTTTTCCTTGGATTTGTTTTCCGCCGATCTTGTTTTCCGTGCTGAGCACCGATGCTACCCACACCTGGACCCTACCTATCGACCCATCAATTCATGAACCGGGGACCAACGGCTTTACTTGATCAGAGATGTTATGCCTCAGAACATCCCGGCGGCACCGACTGGGATTGAACCGAGGGGCGATCAACTTCATAAATCAGCTGAATTGTAAATACACACTTCGGAAAATACACAAAAATACGTAAAGGCGTACATGCTGAAAATAATATACCCCTGAGTACTGCGAACTCAGCCGATTTTATTTTTCAAGTGAGCTAGAAAACATCTTGAAAATCTTCCGAAGTTTCAAATTGTTTTGCTGAAACAGTTCACGAAATTGTATATACATGCTGTCAAATGAACTCTTGGCTCCCCGCATAAACGCGAACCATAAATTGACCTTACCGATAATGGTTATAAATTGTTTATAATCCCTCCTTAACTTTAACTGAAATGGTTTTGGAACCTTACATGAACGTTTGTGTGGTAAAGTTTTAACCTTATGTATTATGGTTTTTAGGAAGCGGACCTTACAAATAATGGGTCGTTAAAAACCACTACCATTCCAAATTCTTGTTTTCTCCATACATTTTCGGAAAGAGAACTATATTAGAACGTTTTTACTTATGGTTTGAGAACATTAATGGTTATGGTTATGGTAGTCAGTAAGGCCCATGAATGGTTTTGTAACATCGATCAACTTTATGTGGAATATATCGCGAATTGGTTGCCTGTAAATTAATAATTATCAGCAACAGCATTTACTTGATTTAGCGTGGCGTGGTTGTTTCAAGTAGTATAGGTCGGAGATCCGTACCTCTCCTTATGTCAATACTTTATCACAATTTCGTTCTGATTACATTAGGGTAGGTGGTATAATTCAAAATTATATTCTTTGATTTTGAGGTAACCAATAGCAGTGATATTTTGCACCAGTGTAGATTTTTTATTTGAAACTGCCACGTGGTGCGGAAGAGGTGAACGGGATCTAAGAAATCAGAACGCAGCCATACATGGTCGCTATTTCCTCTTGCTGTTTTTTTGCGACGTGCAGAAACCATCAGTGAACACTTCGCATCGGGTCGGAATCTTGGACGTCGCCCGCTCGATCGTCATTTCTGAATTTGCTATCAACCGGAAAAGTTGTGCTTCGGTATCGGTGTTATTGCACAAAGGTGATACGAAAAATTTTAATATTCCAGCTAGCTAAGCCAACCAACGACCATAACATCCAAATTAAGGTAAGTCAAGAATGTCTGATACGAAATATAGGAAATAGGGCAAGGAATCCTTATTCCCGGATGGTTTTTTCGTCCGTATTATTTTTCGCGGATACTTGGATAACGTTAGTTCGCTGGAAAGGATAGCATTTCCGTTAAAGTATCCATACATGGCGAATAAGAACGACCCAATTTTAAGTGCAGGAGCTCAAAGATGAGTAAATTTACCTCATAGTTTTATGTGGAAAACCTCAAAAACCTGCCGGAAAATTGACGAAAACTTGACTCAGTCTAGGAGTAGTACCAAAAGATGAAAAGTGATTTATGAGTTGACTAAACTCAAATCTGAAGCATCTATTGGAATACGGGTATAAAACCATCCGGGAATAAGGATACCCGACTGTATGGTGTTCAATCTTGATAAATACGTTATGAGTGGCCACCCATTCGGGAAATGCGGAAAAAAATCGGGTATCGAAAATGAACGTTTGTGTGATATACCTTATTCTGCGAGTCACGTGACTCTGTCACCGGTGAGGTGACAATTGTCACCTCGTGTGAGGTGACTCTCCATGTAAATCAAATGGAGAGTCATCTCACACGAGGTGACTATTGCCACCTCACCGGTGACAGAGAGTCACGTGACTCGCAGAATAGGGGGGATAGTTTTAACCAGGTTTTAACCTTATGTGCTATGGTTTTTTTTTTGGAAGTGAACCTTACAAATAATGGTTTGTAAAGAACCAATGCCATTCTAATTTTTTTTTCTCCATACAATGTCGGAAAAGGGGGGGGGGGAGGTGATTGTCAAATCAAGCTGAACATTGCATTAGGTCCTAAGTAACATTGACAGATTCTCTTTGTCGACTTTCTCTTTGCATCCGCACGGCCATGTAAATACATTTCCAGGAATTTTCAGTACACATATCGATAAAAGAAGCTTTTATCTAGCATCTAATACGACAAACACATCAAGAAACGGTTCTGTGATCAAATTATTAACGAAAGCGAAAGTCGACGAAGAGAATCGATCAATGTTACTTACAGGGCTGTTACAAGAGGCGCGGTTTTCGCGATTTTCGCGGATTTGAACTTTCAGTCGCGAAAATCGCGGAAACATTAAATGGTGTCGCGAAAATCGCGAAGGAACTGATGTGCTGTCACAAAAATTGTGGAATTCATTGTAACCTTTCCGTCAAGGATAATTTTGCTGTCATCAATTTTATTGTTCATTTGGCTCTTGATTTTTTACCGGTTCAAACCAAACACCCTGCAAATAATCGAGAAATGATCTCAATCCCATAAGTCACACCGGATTTACATGGAAATTCCCTGAGGTCTGTCCAATGTGAGAAATTTTCCTTTTTGCAATATGAACATAGCATTTTTCGTTGTTAAATCATAAACGAATCGTATATATGCGAGTAATTGCCATGTATACCGGATATTCTAGGTTCTCCAAATCGCCCTGGAGTTCAGTTGATTTGTTCTACTATATCAACCAAGACTCCAATAATGTATTTAATATCGAAATATGTCCAAACAGATTCAAAGTGTCTATGTGGATTGCACCCGACCTTTTGCTACGTATACAAGATGTTATAGGTTCTGAAATCATTCTGGAGATCAGATTATTTTTCTAGTAGATCACCCAAGACTAATGCAATATCTGTAGTATCGAAATATGCCCCAGGCAATGTCTATGTGGATCATGCCAACCTATTTTCGTGTATGGCAAATGTTCTAGGATTTCCAAACCGATATTTCATTACTACAGATATTATCCAAGTCTTTGTTGATCTAGTAAAACAAATCATCTGAACTGCAGGACGATTTGGAGAACCTAGATCATCTGGTATACGTGGAAATAATTAAACATTATCCATATAGATACTATGAATCTGTTTGGACACATTTCTATACTACAGACTTTATCCCAGTCATGGTTGATCTAGTAGCATAAATCATCTGAACCAGAACGATTTGGAGAACCTAAAACATCTTGTATACATGACAATAGTTCATGCATGATCCACATAGACACTGTGCATCTGTCTGGAAATATTTCGATACTAAAGACATTGTCCCAATCTCGGCTGATCTAGTAGATCAAATTATATGAACTCCAGGACGATTTGAAGAACCTTGAACATCTGGATTACTCGGAAATAGATCATCACAGAGGCACTTTGAATCTGATTGGATATTTTTCGATACTACAGACATTATTGCAGTCTTGGTTGATCAAGTAGAACAAGTCAACTGATGTCCTGAACGATTTGGAAAACCTATAATTTCCGGTATACATAGTAATAAGACGTGTATGATCCACAAAGTCACATATATACGATTCGGTTATGATTTGACAACGAATAGTGCTAGGTACATATTAGAAAAAAAAAATAATGACATGTCTCACCATTGGACAGAACCAAAGGAATATCAATTAAATTGTGAAAGTACTTTAAAGAACACTAAGTTGAGAGCAGGCAAAAATCTAATAAGCTATAAGCAATAAGCTTGAAATGCCATGTAGTAGTATACAAATGCTATTTTTAGTCGATGAAAACAGTTTTTTTTTTGTCGCGAATTAGTAATTGAAGTCGCGGATTTCTTTTGAGAAATCGCGGATTTCGTGGGTCAAATTTAGAAAATCTTATAACAGCCCTGTACTTAGG